GGATGCAGTGTTGGCTCCTGCAGGAACCCCAGGGGCCCTTTGGCCCCTTCCACAGTGAGATCGACCCAGATCCATATGTATCCAGCTGTGCCCTTGATCTGTGTCTTGCTGGGGGCAGTGACCGCATCCTGTGCGTGGCCTTGCAGGTGTGCGCCACAGTCTGCCAGGGTGCAAACATCACCACTGGCACTGGAGGAATTCTTCCTTCTGTGGTGAGTCATGGTTGAGCAGGGTGGGAATCTACCCACATACTCTGTACGGCCACACCAGTTATTCACAGACTGAAATACCTCTGTACTCCTGAGCTGCCTGAGTGCCCCCATCCGCTTCCCACATTCCAAAGCCTGGCATGGCAGGGACTTCCAGACTTCTCCCCAAGCTCCAGCAGATGCACGCTGATTGGTGTGGAGCCTGCATTCTACTGATTACTATTTTTTTTTTTTTTTTCCTGACCGGTAAGGGGATCGCAACCCTCGGCTCGGTGTCGTCTGCACCACACTCGGCCATCCCTATATAGGATCCGAACCCGCGGCCTCGGTGCTACCAGCGCCGAACTCTCCCAAGTGAGCCACAGGGCCGGCCCTGATTACTATATTTTTGAAAACCACCCCGGGCTGATTCAATGACTTCTTGTCCTTGTTCCCTGTCTCCTTGTCCAGGTGACTGGATTCCCTTTTCCACCCTCAGAAAGCCTAACCTGAGAGGTCCATTTTTCTGATTCCTAAGGATACCAAAATAATAATCCCAACAACCGCTCTTACTTATTAAACATCTACACTGTCCCAGGCACAGGGCAGAGGGTTCTATGTGCTTATTGCTGTCACCTTCTCAGAAACACCCTGCAAGTGAGAAGACTGTAAGTGCTATTATCCCCATTTTATAGTTGGAAAAACTGAGGCTCACAGAGGTAAAGCCACTTGTCCACAGCTAATAAAGGACAGAATTGAGACTTGAACCCAAGACTTTCACCAGGGATGGAAGAAGTTTTATTTCAGCCATATCCTTCAATTCTTTCTTTCTTATTTACTGTTAACTATTATAGAAATGTTCAACATAAAAAAAAGTGGAGGGAATAATATAATGAATGCCCACAGGGCAGCTTCAACAGTGACCGAGTTGTGGCCAGCCGTGCGTCCATCCCCACCCCTCACCTCATTTATTTGCTTTATGTAAAGCAAATCCCAGGCATCGTGGAAACCTGTAATACTTCAGCATGATTTTCTCTAATAGACTGGAACTTAAAAAAGAAAAAACTACCATGATTTGCTCACACCTAACAAAATGAGCAATAACTCCCTGATATCATGAAAAACCTAGTCTATATTCACCTCTTTCTGATTGTCCCCCAAACCTCCCTTATGCCAAGGTTTTTGCTGGCCCCTAGTGCTTGGGTATCAGAGGTTTCTAGCTGATCCCAACATAAGTAGTGCAGTAGGTCACGTTCTCTAAGGGGTGTTGCTCCCTTGCCCAGCCAAAAGGCACCAGCAGCCCCCACAGGATGATCCCAGGGGTCAGGACACCCCTAAAACCGTGCCCCGCCCCCAGCGATGTTAGATCCAGATGTGAATCTCTGACACCAGGCAGTAGGAAGCCCTCGAAGGCTTTAGAGTAGGGGAATGTGGTAGGATAATGCTCTTGCAGTGAGGAAGAAAGGCAGGCCAACTAGGGAGTGTTTCTGGAATACGGATAGGTCACCTTTATCCAGGGCTCACAGTGTCCCAGGAGCTGCCCCAACCATTTAATTTACTTTAACTTGATTAGCCCTCGAAGTAAGCCTGAGGCCAGTACTAAAGAGTCCATTTTAGAGATAGGGGTGACTGAGTCCTAGAGAGGTTAAGCAGCAGACGCTGGTGGGGTACGGAGCCAGGACTGATGCCGGGGGGCTGGGCAACGGATGTGCAGATCGTACGCCTCCTTACCCGCACGTTTTCTCCTCCCTGCTCAGCCACAAAATGCCCAAAGCACAGCCGCTGCCAGCTCTGCCTGGGTCCCGCCGGGCGCGGCTCTGCGT